CGCTGCGCTCGGGACGCCAACATTCCACAGCCCCTCGGGTTGAAATGTAGCGTACACACCTCGCTTCTGCGTCTAACCTATATGTATTCTGGGTGGGTAGAGCCTATTGATGATGCTTTATCACCAATTGGTACATGCTACCCCGGCAACGACGCGTTATGAGGTATAATTTATTGGCTTGTAATACTAATACCCACTTAGCAACTCAATGACATCATACCCAATATAATTGCCAAAAAAACGCCCAAAAAACGCAACACACCACAAAACCGAGATATACGCGCTAAATAGACCAATCGGATCGCTACACATCACGTGACAGCTGTTACGTGGCACTTTCACAAGCGGTACGCGGGGAAAAAAGAGACAGTTAGTAGGCTACGATAACTTTTGATGGGAATTGTCTTCCCCCTCAAGTGCTGCTAAGATGGCAGGTGCATTTTTGACACCGCCACTGACGCCTCCAACACTACCGGAGCCACTGACGCCCCAGAGGTACATCAAACCCTTGGCGCCGCGACAGCTCAAATAGTCCACGTCCAGGATTGGCTGCAGGTTTGCTAAACCGTTGACCCGGGAAGAAGTGCGGCAAGAAACGCACCCAGCAGTGTAATAACTGGGCCCTGGGAGTTTTTAAACTTTGGGCAGCAAGCCGACAGCAAGAAACCTGTATGGATATCGCAGCATGTCCTGCCGATTTATTGGAGGCCCAGCATCCAACCGATATGGTTGATGAATGGTTAGCTGTGTTTGTGCTGGAGGCCAGGCATGGAGATGGTGATACTACCCACCTATGACTGTCCAAAATTAGTTGGCAGCATTGTTTAGGGTGTACAAGGCTAACCGAGGTGCGTAGTCAGCTTTATGAATAAGGCTATTCGAGAGAGACATTACCCGAAATTGCACAATGCTTTAGACAGGCACCTGAGAATACTCCGTTCTTACGGAATTGGCGTGGAAAGACGCAGTGCTGACATCATAACGGTAGAGATGGAAAGGAAGCTGTGGTCACTGGGTATTTTGGGAATGTCTATGCCTCAGGCTCTTCTAAATGCTGTCTTCTTTTACAGTGGGAAGTCTTTCGCACTCGGGGGGGGGGGACCTACGTTTGAGTAGTTGGTTCGAATGAGGGATCCAGACAGGTACACCTATTATGAATATGGATCAAAAAGCCATTCCGGTGGAGTTGCAGACAAAAGTCATGGTAACATTGTTAATATTGTCGACACTGCCCCACATGTTTCACACGTTGAGATCCTTGATGTGTACTTACCGAAAATACCACCTGAAATGAAACCAAGTGATCAGTTTTATCTCCAGCCATTGCCATTTACGCTGACAGGAAATATGCCATGGTACTGGGCTAGCCCACTTGGAAAAAACAAGTTGCAATGGTCAAGCATATGTTTCGTCAAGCAATATATCGAAGGATATTTTACCAATCATAGCCCGAGGGCAATAAACTCCTTCATCATCATTTTTCATTCATGGCCATCATTTTTTAAATTCATTTGTGCTGTAAAAACTGTACAAATTGCTGAACCTCATCTGGTCATCATTGTTATCCTGCCATACAATGATGCTGCATATACAAACTTGCAGTTGATGTACAAATTTGCTGTGCTGTACTGTCAAGCGCATACACAACGTTTTCCTAAAAAGGCGGCATAATTATCCATTGTGTTGTAGTTACTACAGAGACATGTACCAAGTCTGTTTGATGATGTCAAGTATGCTCTATGAGCGGGCACATAGAGCATACTTGACATCATCAAACCTATACGTGGCTGGTCCATGCCTACTACATTATGAGCTCAGCCTTTATGGTCCTATGAGGTGGTTTTAACATCCTTCATGGTCTCCTGTGCTATGTCCACGTTAACTCTATAGGCACCCGTCTTTTTATATTACATGGGATCCTCCCACTGTTGGGAGGGATGGTTCACAAACCATCAGAACAAAGGAGATTTTGCTATAAAGTTGGGAATGCTCATAGGAGCTGATGCCCAAACTGGGTATATTGCAACAGTAAAGCGAGCTGTTGATAAAAAAAACAAAAGGTATTGCTATGTTATGACAAAAAAAGGGAAGAAGTTATTCCTCCAGAATGCCAATTGCACATATGGCTAGACTGGAGTGTACAGCAAGGTCTTAGAATTGTGTCGATGAAAGAAGTCCTTCCTACTGTGGTACTCCCACTGAGTTCCAACATTCATAACAAGGCTCTTGATATGCTGTGCCAACACAATACCAGCAGTCCTTATCATGGCAGGTTGGATTGTACTTTATGTACAGCCATATTATGTCTATCCTGGCAGGTGGAGTCATGAGTCTCCATTATACATCACTAGCTGGGGTGTCCAACAAATGTTGCAAAGTGGGCTTTGCAGACACAGCAATGTAGTAGCCCTATCTATCATGGGTAACACACATCCATTCTTAGATGTTTAACTTTTGGCTTTTGTCAAAATATATGTTCTGCAGGTATTTCTGGTGAAGCTATGAGCGTGTTACAAATACGTACATTCATTATGGAAAGGGCAGCTGTGTCGCCACTGCCATTTGGAATTGATGACCCTTATGCTACCACCTCATGTAAGCAATACAATGTATCAGAAAAATAGTTGACCTCTACAATGGAGGGAGAATAGTCAACTCCAGGAAAGGAGTGGTAAAAGAATTATCTACTCCACTTGTAGTTATTTATCATTCCTTTTTTGTCAGGATGAAAGGTATATGCAATTAAGGTCTTCCTCTACAATTGATTAATATCCAATTTCACAAGGTTCAGTCCCGAGTCAGCATCATGCCTCCAACAACTGAAGAGAAGCACCTGGCCTTTGATGAGCTAGAACGGTCTATTAGCGATACCAGCGGCTTCAGAACCACGCGAGCCTGAAAAACAAAAGGGAGATTTTCCTGAAACGACTGCGTTCGAGAGATATGCCTTGAAAACAAGTCAAAAAGCCAATATGCATATTAGCACTGGGCTTACCGTGACCTAATCCGCTTCCTCCTGTGTATCTTGAAGGCACAAGAAGTCACAACGAATGGCATGTATCGACTCCCGTATGCTATCTACTACTGTAGCTAGCCTGTGTCAGACTCTCCGCGAGCTATATACTAGCGGGAGACCACGAGTAAATGCATACAAATAGCTCAGCCCATCAATTAGCAGTATCATGCATGCACAGTTCGCTGAGGGTTTGCACTTTAATGCTTTTAATCTGTGCTTCAAGATAAAGAAGAAATTCGGTCTATTAGATCACTACTCACAAGGGCAGTCAGACAATAACTGGTGTCTGTTATTAAACAGGTAACTACACTTCGTTTAATAATGGCATAAATCTGTTTGCCACCATTTCCATTTATTGCTTGTTAAAGAAAAATAATTTCAAAAGGTGTTGAAGTTTGTACGCAACCGAGGGGAAAATATGTACATTATGTACCCAGAGATGACGTTGCTGGAATTGTGCATCAAAAGGTGCACGGCATTATTACTAGTATTACTGGAGAGCCTTTGTTTTGAGTGACGTGAGCTACTCGACATACCCAATTATTTCGATTCAACAAGCTGTGAGATAAATAAAATAATGGCATAGCAATAATGTGTCAAAGCCAGGAAAAGATAGTGTGTCTCTTAGGTGTGAAGAAAAAAGTACTTGTAAACGATGTACCATAATCTTTATGGACAAGAATGACAACAGTAAGAGTGACAAGCTCCATTGACGTAAGAATCCTGGGGTATGTGGTTGAATGGAGCATCATTTGTGATACTGACTATTCCATGGACTGGTTGTATTTTTTACCATGTATATTTACAGTACCGACTCAATAGAATTAACGCACAACACTACTTCATGCACAAGCCCAACTGACTGTAAATCTGGTTGGCCATAGAAGGATCCATTCGCAGGAGGTTTAACTTGGTCCTCACCAGGGAGTAGTCCTTCTCAATGTCAGAGATGGTTTTTACCTCAACCTGCACTGGTTGCTGTTTCCCTAAAGAATAAGAAAAGTGAACATGTCACACAACTGCGTGCAGTAATAACATGTGCACATGCATAAAGTCGGGCAGCACTTGTGGAACTACAAAGATCAAGCTAGAATACATACATCTGTTATGTTATATAAAAATTGTTGGGATAACAAAGTGAACAAGTTAATATGTAAATTTACACTCGCTTACATTCTGCCTGTTTTCGTACAGCGGAGGCGTGTGATGCCTAAAATCTAGCTAGCCTGTGCCAGACTCTAGGGAAAGGTGAAAAGCACTTTGGAAAGAGAGTTAAAGAGGCCGTGAAACCGTTGGGAGGGAAACGCATGCAGCCGGACCAGCCCGCGTCGAGTTCAGGGGGCTGCCGGAGGTCGCGCGTACGGTCTTAAAAGTTTAGTGGGATACTGCAATAGTGTAGCCTAGCAAATCAATTAGCGGTTGTAATTTGTGCATGCATATACTTAGGGCGTCATTGGTGGTTTAATTAACCCGGTCTGCTCCTACATACTGAGTGAGAGTATACTGTGCCATAGCACAGTGGTTTGAGGTTTGCCTTGTGTTGTGTTGTAGATTCGAACCCCTACCAGCTGAGTCGACCTGGTAGCTCAGTTGGTAGAGTACTCACCTAGACTGCAGAGTGCCGTGGGGTTCGAATCCCACCTAGGGCAGCTCCTTCCCTTGTAGTAGTTGATTAGTTTGTTGTGCCTTTGCCTTTCTACTTCGTAGTTTTCAGGTGCAATGTTCATACGCATGTGTTCGTATATTAGTTTCCATAGGAGCTTTTTTATCCACGAACAGCCTCTGAAATATTTACAGTAGAAGAGCCTACCAGTCCCGTCCAACATGTCTGAGCATCGAATGCCCAAAGAACGCATCGGTACTTTTCTTATCACACAGAGCAATGTGTATAAATGGTAATTAGTTTTGCTGTCGCCAACGCAAGCAGAGCTGACTCCTAGGTCTTAACTAGAAATGTTATGTTAAATCTGGTGATGTCCATAGAGGAGGGTCTCCCATGGTAAATGTGAGAAGAGGAAGGTCTCTTAATTCTCCATTACCCATGGATGTCAAAAGGCGTCATGCCGAAATCGGTGCACCAGTTTGCCCTGAAACAGCTGTGTTATATTCACCAACAGAACTTGGTGTCTGGAGACATAAACTACAAACCCTCGGAGCACTAGAGACGCACGTGTGTGTCATGTAAACACATTACACCCACACAAAATCAATGATGCAGATGCCGGGGTCAGGAACAATTCATGGCGCTATTACATTCCTCTGTCTTTGTTTAAAAAAGTGAGGGACTTGATATTCTTTGATGGAATGTTGGCAGACGAGACATCGAAAAACAAATTAGTTTGGTTCGTCGATACGGCCCAACTTAGACATCATCAACAGAAGAAGACTCCAGATGATTTTATAAATTGTGAAATAAAGCAATCCAGATGTGGTGAAGGTTTAAAGCTCTTACTAAAGAGTGAAGTGGAATCAAACAAACGAGGAAAATGCATGCATACATGTCGATCATTCAAAGACTCATTACGCTCTCTGGAAATCCAACTCCAGCCCTGCATATGCGGGTATAAAGGGGGTATCACCGTGGACGTCCTCCAAGGAATGAAGCGTGGATTTTTAGGGATGTGCGATACCAGTCAGACACCTGCACTCGGTGTAATGACTATTGTGCCTGACCGGACAGCAGCAACACTCCTGCCGATACTGCAGTGCCACCTTCGGGACGGGACAACAGAACACAGTGATCAGTGGGCTGCCTACAACCATGTCCAGCAGTTGCAACCTGTGTCAATCGACAACGCTGTGAACCACTCCCTCAACTTGGTAGATCCAGCTACAGAAGGTCACTTGTGCGTCTTCCGGAAGTCGTTGTGCGCTGGGTCACTTCATCCCAACAATGACCCACGCCATTCCTCGAGAGTGCACGCCCTTACAGCGTACAGACAGGAGAAGGCCGAACGACGATGGCTCAAGCGGCAAGAGACGGTTGCTATGCATGCTGCTTCCCTTAGAAACCAACTTACCCATGTCAGAATCGACGAAACTCACAGAAGACCCCTGAAAACGCCACCACGACAGAGCTACCAGCCAAACTCAACTCGAACGAAAAAGCTTTGCAGCTGCTTTATAGCTGAGTCAGCAGGGCGTGGCTACCTGCACTCGTGCGAAGACGACCAAGCTAGCAAGACACAGTCAGCGCGAAGAATGGCAGCACCCCGGTGAGTGTTTCGCTTGTGTTTCATACTGGGCAATGGATTTAGAACGTAGTTCTCGCTTGTAGACGCTTAAGGAGTGTGATAGTAGCATGTACCAAGTGGTAGTTTCTATCAGCCGCCATTTTGTTAGTGCGTCTTTGTCGGTAGGCCTGCGCCTAATCTGCCGGCAGAATAATGGGAAAAATAGGCGCCCTCGAGCAGCGAGCATAATGCCGGAAAAATGGGCGAGCCTGGTTGACTGACACATGCGCATAAGTGGAATGCGCTAAGCTAAGCATTGCCGGCTACACAGCTCGCAAGCTATTATTAACCCTTGGTGCGCATGCTTGTTGTAAGGATAGATGGGTCAACAGTGCATCATTAAAAAAAGAAAGGGAAGAGAGGTTACCATGATGCAATGAATCACCAGACATTTGAGGAATGGGTAACAAACCAGTTACTTCCAAACATTCCGGTAAAGTCGGTACTTACCATAGTCGTCAACTAGAGCGTATACGTACCTAGTAAGAACGCTGATATGATAGAGAAGCAATCAATGCCTTATTAAGATAAACGTGAATTGTATGAGATCATAAAGAGCTGACGTACTACCCCTGTATATGCTGTAGACAAGCTAGCGAAAGCAGCAGGTCATGAAGAGCTACATCTATATACCTCCCTATCATTGTGAGCTAACATGGGCACAAGTGAAGGGATACATAAAGGCAAATAATAAAAAGTGCACTCTTACTGAAATCAGTGCATGAAGGTTGTTACACCGGACCGCTGGGCGAAGTTAGTCGAGCACGTGCAAAGAGTTGAACAAACGCTTTTGGAAGCAGACACATGAGGAAGCTATTGAAAGTTTTATTTGTGTAAGTGGAAGTGATAGTGAGATTGACAGTCAGACTGCATCACATTCTGAGTATTGCCATTCGTCATTCCAGTTCCTCAGTTGAACTGATTCTCCATTTTTTACACAACTACGTATGTATCATTCCTCAGTCAGTGTTTGTTGTTACATGATAAGCACAAAGTGGTTTACTGGATGTTCACAAGTAGCTTAGTTTACGAAAACACCGCACAAGTGGTCAACCATAAACTTAGCCACGAGTGTAACTGCCCTGACAAATCAGATCGTTCGCCGCTCGCTACACCCCCACGGTTTTTACCATATATGGACAAAATGCGCAAATCTTCACCGCGCGTCTGCCCCCAACATGTCGGAGTGTATACACGTCTGAGGTGGTGGAGCCGTCTTTACTGTCGGATATAAACTGGAGACGACCAGTTCCCCGACGATACGACCTCGGTATGAGCAACTTCATTGATTCGAGTGCATACTGATTATTGGTCGCTCAAAGCACTTCGTATGTATGAACACACCAAAACAAGTCAACACATTGCAGTTTCTAACATTCTCTCGGGTGTCGGAGATTTTTCAACTTGTAACTGTACAAACTGTACATTCCTACTACTCACTCTTATGTTTCTTCCAGTGTTTATCCTCATTGTTATGTTTGCCAGTGTTTCTAACTGATACTTCATCTATCAAAGATGAATAAACTGTTTATTTTTCCATCGCTTCCGTTGGCCATACACCGTGCGCTAGCCGCTATATAGTGTATGTGGTTTGAACGCGCTCATGAAAGTAAGGCTACATGGGATACTGTGCCAAGAGGGAAGTGCCAAATTCCTGTTGTGCTATAAGCAATTCCCACAAATGACATTTCTCAGTCCTTGTTGATTAATCACTAAGTGCGGTAGTACTTAGCATATAGGGATGACAGGTTGTCCTGCATTATGCCCATACATTTGAGATTTTCATGTTTCACTTTCAGTTTCAATCAGTTGACACATCAGACTGATCCGTATCGTCACGAAGAGCATGTATCCAACAAATGGCTTCAATCGTTTAATCGGTACTTGATTTATTCAAAAAAGTTGTTGTTGGGCCCGTTTTGCCACCACACCGAACGGTGAGTTAATATCGACTGGTACGTCATTAGTAGATTTATTTGAGACGTCAAATATCAAGCCTTGCAACTTAACTAATACAAATGGCTGCAAAATCAGCCTAACCCCCAGATACATCTGCTTTCGCAAATTTTCCACAAACTAAAGGTGAGCGGTAAAATTTTACTGGCCTCAAAGATGCTCCTATAGAATAGGATTGTGCATAATCAGTTTCAAGTCTTAACTCTCAGTCTTGTGGAAATAATCAGCCTAACTGAATTTCTGACTAACCTTTATTCTGTGGCCATTTTTGTCACGTGACTGTCACATGATTTGATATAAATTTGATAACTTTGATCAGAAAAGATTGCTGATCATCTTGGTGTGTTTCTGAGGTGCATAGAATGTAGTATGGCTGAGTAATGGACCAAAATGTATGAAATCGCAAGTTTCAGCCTCTATGTGCAAAGCACAGTAGTTAGGGTACAGCATCGCGGAACTGAGAGAACAATGGCAAGCAAATCCAAAAACTGCTGACACAAAAGGTTAAATGGCATAGTATTCACGCTGCTATCGCGAACAGAGAACGGCTGAATAGTACAATGGCATTCAGTAAGTAATGGGTAAACGGTACAACGGTGAACTAGTTCAAAGGTTGAACAGTGAGTGTTTTGCTACTGTAAAACAAAAAATATACACACTAGCCGATTGAACATGACAGCACAAACCTTCGGATGTATGCGGTCTCTTTCTCTTCTGCGCCATTTTCGTATTCTGGAAAAGATTAGGTACACAACGTCTACAGAGAGGTTTTGGACTTGGTCCCTTCTTTCTTACAGTTGACTTGTATTCTGCACACTCATGAGGTGCCATTTATGTCAATAGCCCTTTTCACGTAAAGGACTGAGGAATTCATTAGCTCATAATTGAACGTGACGCAACTCCCGGGGTACATTCCTCCGCCATTTTGTTCACGTTTTCTATGCAGGTCTATGGAGATGATGTCACTTTTCCAAGCGCCGTAGTTAGCTTACTGTACGCGATGTTCTATTTATACGGTATTAAAAAAAAAAATTGAAACGTGTGCTATTGAATGGTCCATATTGCGTGTGCTAGGGTTGTACGACTTGGGAGATACGCGCTCGGAAAGACGGTGGGTATAAGAGTTGCTAAGGTCTATACTGCTAGTGAAGTGGCCGGTTCTGTACCTGACTTACGTAGCTAAGCTCTGTGAAGGCTGGGAACCTGTCTATATTACTATTGCTTGTGTTTATGGCTAGCAACTCTTACCAGTGGCTAAGGATCCCGACGTTATAGTCATCGTCTTTCTGAGCACGTATCTCCCTAGCCATAGCAATATAGACAGGTTCCCAGCCTTCACAGAGCTTAGCTACGGTAAGTCAGGTACAGAACCGGCCACTTCACTAGCAGTATAGACCTTAGCAACTCTTATACCCACCGTCTTTCCGAGCGCGTATCTCCCAAGTCGTACAACCCTAGCACACGCAATATGGACCATTCAATAGCACACGTTTCAATTTTTTTTTTTAATACCGTATAAATAGAACATCGCGTACAGTAAGCTAACTACGGCGCTTGGAAAAGTGACATCATCTCCATAGACCTGTATAGAAAACGTGAACAAAATGGCGGAGGAATGTACCCCAGGAGTTGCGTCACGTTCAATTATGAGCTAATGAATTCCTCAGTCCTTTACGTGAAAAGGGCTATTGCGTTGATACATGTGTGTACATCGACATTAACAAAACATGTGCATTGACTTTTTTGCATTGAAATTTGCCTTATAACCTAAATTCGACTTGTAGAGCCCGTTCACTGAAAAGTGGCAGGAATATAACAGGAAAAGGATTCACAAATGGATGGACACGTGGACACATACTAACCTTGTACCTGGACCCTCTCTGCAGTCAATAGCACTAGGACAATAAACCATGCATCCATAGCACCCAAAAGTACAGGTATACGAAGGGTGTCTGTGTCTGTCTTACCTCCCAGTCACTTCAAATTACAAAGGCTACCACTACCTCATCCCAGTTCCCCAGATGAATTCTAGGTGAATGCTGTCAAATAACGGCAGATCCCCACCCGAAAGACTTCCTCTAAACTAGACCCTCATATAAAGCTACTGACTCCCAAAAAACATGACTATACACTATAATAATCGCAATTTTGCTCACTCCCTTCTATGTCTAAATTGTGCTTATTATTGAACGACAAGCATAGGTAGTAGACAAGAATGCTGACAGCAAACCTTCTCCATGATCTCCTCCAGCTCCACTGGCACCACCACCCATGCATACTGTGGCTGCGCCAAGTGAAGGGCAGTTAGACACATGCAGTAACAGTTGGCCTGAGGAAGTCACAGAACATAGTTACAAACAAATAAATCGCGTGAACTAACAAACCTGTTTTTTGAGAGATAGTGTCCCAGGAGCTTCTCTCCCCAGTCTCAGTCCGTACTCATACATGACTGAGGCAGCTACATACAAGGCAGTGAATAGAACACCCATCTTATAGCACCAATCATAATATCAAAACCCAACTGAGATGCTTAGCTAAACGAGGTAAGATTACCATCACAGAGAACATTACAGTTTGCAACAAAGAGCACCTTTTCTGTAGTTCTGTTTGGTTGTGTGATAGCAATAAAGCAAGTCATAGTACTTGTGTTTCATCAGGTCCATACTGCGAGCGCGATCCTCCATCACCCGTACAATCTGTAACCAGTGCATGTACATGCAACAGGGAAAGTTCAACATTGCATACGGTAACACAACTGTTACTTCTTCTTCCATTCCTGGATAGTTCAGATGGCAGATTAGTTTCAGTTGGTTTTGATCAGTCAGCACAACAACAAAATGATGAAGACACTCCTTTCTCCTACAATAGAAATATTGTTGTGGATAACACTTACGGTCTACCGTGAAATCAAACATCACTACCAATCAATGACATTTTGTATGTTTAAGGAAGATGTCAACATACGTCAAAAACTAAGTTCAGCCCTTTATGTACAGTATGCGTAAACAAAACTTCAAATGAACGGCCTGTTCAAAGTAAACAGGGGCGTAAACGGTCTCTGGACAGGGCGCAAACGGGTGGGCGAACGGATCAGCCCGTTCTCGATTTATCTCGTGTTGAATGAGTGCGGCTTTCTCCGTGACTTTTTCGTCAATGAACGGCCCGTGCAGCGGAATGGCCATTCCTGTTCAACTCCTGTTTGCACAGGGTAAACGATCGCGCTGCGTTTCTTAGCGTTTTTCGTAGAGAGAGGTTCTAAAAGACTTTGTGCTCCCCTGGCCTTTGCCAAGGAAGGGATCGTTGCAAGTTACAGAGGCATCTATGCGTCGACCGGTCCAATAGGGGGGTGGCAGGCAGAAAGCGGCAAAAATTACAGACGGAAACGAGGGAGATCCCAATGAGGAGGAGCTGCAAGTCCCCTGTGACAACGGGCATGACACTTTGCAAAATCTTATCTCTGCTAGAGGGGTGTTGGGCAAGTCCTTGGCAAGCGAGTCAAGCTAGGGCTGTTCTCGACGTCTTCCCTGGGCATGTCGCTCCACTTCCTGGAAGTTTTTTGACATGTACTGTAGTTGGCATGAATACGTAATTAAAATGCATGTTGAAAAGCCAGTTTCTTCTCTTAGTGCTTTCATCGTACGGTCAACTGGTGCTTTTAACTGTAGGCCAATTCACTTTCTCTCCAGATGTGTAACTTCACATGGGGCAGAAAGACAGATATGCACATGGGCACACACAGACAAGGTAATCCGGTGCTGTGCATAAGGCTGAGGTTAGTCTTCCCTGGTGTGTACAATGTTAAATCCTGCCTTTCCAATAGCACACAGAATAAAAATTGAAATCTAAATCAATCACACTTATGGTAGCTAGTTGTGCAGAATATAGTACCACAAGTAGGTTAATAATCCTCCAACCTGGTGAGATCAGGATTATTCATCATGTCCATGTAGGCATCTTCATAGTAACTAAGGTGTAAGTGATATTTGAAGAGTATAGACCACAACACTGCCTGCAAAAGGGTAAAAAATTCATACACAGTGTACACCAAACATGGTATCGCAGTTCCTCACTGATTGAAGGTCATCCTTGTCAAAGCACATCACAGCAGTTTTTGCTACCTTGATGACTGCAAGATGGCTAGAGGTCTGTTCAAACAGGCCTATAACCTTCAGAAAGTATTTTAGTAGCTTTTCTTTGTCTGAGCTCTTTTCCTCTCCATCCTTGCCTCCTCCTGCAATTACCTGCTGCAGCAGGTCTTCAGACGAGTAGACTGTAGAGGATTGTAATGACAAACAGCATTCATAAGTTATACTGGTACTTTGGGTTACATAGGACAGTGAGTGCATGTTGTTGTTTAAATTTCTTTGAAGCACATCACACAATTAACATATTGTACACAGTACCAGGGTAAGACACAGCAGACAGGAAGCATTTGGTAGCCTTTTCAACTTCTCCAGTGTGGAGGTAGCTCTGGGCCAGCAGGAAATTGATGGAGTCTTTCCCTTCATTTATAAATGACTTAGTCTCTGCAATATAGTCCTGTAGCATTGATGGTGATAAATACAGTGTTTTAGAGACTTTTGAAGGACAAAGATTATCACCTGCAGATGTGTGTGTTGGCAAGCAGAGAGAAGGAACTGACACACTGACACAGAGTTGCTGGAGGGCCACCTAAATTTATTGCTTCAGGAAAGCCACAGGATAAGGAACTGAAAATACTGAATAACTGTGTGAAGCAAAGGATACAGTTGTGCTAGGAGAATGGTGACACTCTGAGGCAGCAGTTCACTCCAGACAGAGGACTGCCCACCACGAGAGGTCACAGACCTAACAATAGCTCCACGCAGCTCTTGTCCACCCCTCCCTCGCAGGTACAATTCCAACAGACTACAATCTAAGAGTACAAGAATAAGCAGGACAGTTTCTACGCACATGCAAAATTGTACACACACTGTTTGCTGGTGGAGTCAACTTCATGGTTTTATTGATACTGTCCGACCAGAGTGTTTACTCCCTACCCTCCCCCTAACTGACCCCTGTATCATGATGCAATAAATAGTGAAGGCTCTTTACATACAACTGATATTACGATAAAAATCTTCCTTCACTTCTTTACATTTCTCTTGCAAAAAATGGGACATATGACATAGGAATATAACCTGAGTTAATGGGAGGCTGTCTAGAGCAGGAGGAAATGTTGAGAGCAGCCAACTGTCGCATATTGTTTTCCCTGCAGCAAAACATAAGTGACCATGCGGTGCACACATATCACTGGTATAAAATAAATGATGGTAGTGGTTCAATAGTCTGTTCACATGTAACATAACATAACCTAAAATCACTTGTATTCCTCGCTTTTATACAGGTGCATATTTCATGCATGCAGTTTTCTTTCCTCTGCTGTTTTCTCTTTCATCAGTAGTCTCGCCATCATCTCCACACTTGAGTATTTTTGCTCCGTGCACTCACGCTCAGTGCAGGTAAAACACAATTCATGGTCTTGTACACCACAAACCACGACTAACTAAAGTGCATTCGCGTTCACCTTGCCGCCGGAAGTGAGCAGTCAAAGCTGTTTACGCAAGTACGCATCATAATTTACATAAAGAGCATATTTGTGGTCTGTAAGCACGCTTAGGCTAGCGCAGCAGCGCAAGCAGAGACAGCAATCTGGGTATCAGCTTGAGTTTGACTTCGTCAAAGCACAGCCTATAGGTGCATGAAACTTACCAGCAAGTTGCAGCTCAATAGCCAGAGTAAAAACGGTTCGCAGCACAACATCCCACAAGGCTTGTACGCTCGTAACCTGGCGCCTGTACGGGTAATTGCATACTTTGTGGCGAGTGGAACGCCCATACTTTTCTTATGGGACATACAGCTAACTTTGCAACCGTGCATCAGACGCAAATGTGGGCCGAGCTGGCAAATCATCCATTTTGGTTACACCTCCTGAGAAATGCTCATACAAACAACACATAATATAACGGAAGAAGATTTGCCGGCATGCGTGACCATCTGGGTCTAGAAGTGGGTTTGAAACTCACAGTGAGAGGGGAGAAGTAGGAACAACCGACTGACAACACAGCCAGTGGAGTGTATGATAGTTTTGTAGGAGAGTTGAGAGCTTGTAGAGGACCCGATTCACGTTCTGCACCTGATAGAGTCAGAAATGAAGGAAGACCTTAAAAAGCATTCTATTTGGCTACCTTTCCCTGATGCTGCAGTAGAGAGATCAGTAACAGAAGGTCTGTTGTTACCATTAGTCTCGCTAAGCATCTCCTCCCAACAATATCAGCTAGTAGTCGCTCAGAAACAGGAGACGCAAAAAGCTGTGACATGGCCAATTGGGTCTCTGAATCTTGTACATCAGCTGCAATATATGTATAAGAAGGTGGTATGATGATATACATCATTATGTAGGACATACCAGTTTCAATCATTTCATCCTCATAAGAAGGATCCAACTCTGCCACTAATAAAGCTAGAAGTTTATGAACATCTCCTATTGGTAACAACCTGCAATCAGAGATACAGGAAATATATCCTCTAATGGTTGTTTCCAGACACAGTAGAAGTTTTCCTGTTTCATTGTAATACAAACCAACCCACACACCTTTCTCCTATAGGCAGCATTGACATTGCACAATGGCAAAATCCATATACATACACATAATTATTTCTCAACCCTGTGAAGAAAGAAAGCTATGCGTGCCAATGTATATGCATGGTGCGCCATTTGTTTAAAAAATACAGAAACTGGTTAATCGATTACATGCATGTCGATCGCGATCTATCTCCTCTCGATCGGTGAATAGATTCACGCAGTTGCTGGGCAGCATCAAGTGATCAAGGGTGCCGGATCAAGTGAATGCTGGGCCGGGCGTGATAGAGCGATCTTTTCTGCCGCTTAGTGACTCAGCGCATGTGCATTCTCAGCCTGCAGCCACAACTGCAGCACACGTGGCAGCCCCTCTCTTCGTGATAACATCCGGCAGTGGACAAAACCCGGACTGGGAAGGACAACAGCAACAGAAGGTAACCAGACATCACGCGACTTTGATGTTTGCTTTCCTGTAACCTGTCATGCACAGATGGCTGAAATTTTGCATGAGTTGGGGGTTGCTCCGGAGTGTATAGCAAAATTTGCGGAGGAGAAGGTACATGAAAAGGCATCAAGCTATCTAGGCAGAAGTCGTAAAAAATCTGTGAGAGGAGATAGCTTGATGCCTTTTCATGTACCTTCTCCTCTGCAATATACTACAGGTATACCCGTCCACGGTCGCACAACTCGAGCAGCTAAAACAGTTGGGGGTTGAGAGAATTGGAGAAAGAGCAGTTTTGCGCTCTCGCTGCAAAGCTATGGAACATTGTAAATTGTTTAGCTGAATTAGGAATGGCAGAGCCCATATGGTGGTTGGTCATTCTGAATTCAATCTAGAGGATGTTTTGCAGATTCTTCATCCTCATGAATCATCCATGATGACCGCAAGTGAAGTGAGGGTCCATGGCTTCCCGCAGCAATTTATTCGAGAGTGGAACAGATCAGGTGTGCATTGTCTATTATGTTACCTTTCTGTTGTTATTTTCTTGCAGAGCTACAAGATATTTTGACATACATAACTGGAAATCGTCATGTAAACGTTTTTGTGGATTTCGTCAGTCAAGATATTGTTGCGATAACAGTTAGCACATGCACGCACACACTCTATATGCTACCAGCCTTTTGCCAGGGGACTGTATCTACTGATTGGGTCAAAGAGGTTTACCATGCCATGATCTTTCCTTTCTTCCGTTGTCATGAGTTTTCCTTATCAGTTTATTGTCCAAGAAATAACTTTTATCACTTTACGAAACCATACATAGAAAACTTAATATACAAATTTACACATGATCCCAAGAACTATCAAGTATATGCAGGAGCAATGGTTTTGATTGAAGGATATCTGCTCACACCATAGTCAGTCACTGGGATTCGGATGACTGTGCATTATCTGAAGACAGTCAAGAAAGCGTTGTTTGGCCAGTGGACATAAAAGTGTCAAGGATGTTTACTTCCTGTCGAGCTTCTCGCACAGGCCCAGAGGGATCAATTCCAAAGCTGCTTACGTAGGTCATATGGGGTAGGATCAGGTATATCAAGAATGTGGCGCCCTTCCCCTGCCTCTCTTATAACTCCATATATCCATATCTCTTTTGGGCTCCACATTCGCTCTGTACGAATAGGGTGTTAATTCCAAGCCTGTGTGAATGAGTCTAAGGACCAATTTATCATAGGCAAAAACACGCAATGGAGCGGAAACAAATCAAGGTCAAGAGCTGGATCCAACATTGCCTCTTCTTCCCTGTAGAAAAATACTTCGTGGTATGTGGCTGCGACACACCGGTACACATCTGTGCAGAGTCGTTCCATTTGCTGGTTGTGTGTTGATGGGCCAGCAATGAAGCTTCCACGACCTATTCCCCTATGTGATACCATAAGCTGACATACCACCATATTCTCTTTATCTTACCTGGGTGGTGGCGCGAATCCCTATTACTGGCTGGGTACACAAATTAGCATAAGGTTGTAGACTCTGAATGTGCTGGCGAATACGGTACGTTAATCGGGGATCAATTCCAACATACTGCATGACTTCTTCAATATGACTCAAAACTGCTTCAAGCCTTGTTGTCATGTAGTCTCCTTCAGCTTTTTCCATCGGCGTTTCCGACCTAGAACACTCAGTTACGAAGTTTTATACTGCACTGATGACGTTCATTACAACCTAAAGCGGCCAAGAAAAACGTTTTTGTAACTTAACTTTCCAGAAAATGGTTAACTAAACCAACCCACTCCATTTCTGCAACTAGTGAAAATAATTGCTGACAGTGCACTGAGTAAAAGCACATGTATGCATGCGCACGCCATCACGTGGCGGACCACAAATTAATGCGCAGCGTTGCCTTGATCCGCACTCCCCATTGCTTGATACCCAATTAAACGGAAATGATTGCGATAGACAAGAGTACAATCGAGATTACCAGTTTCTGTATTTTGAAACAAATGGCGCGCCAAACTTACGTGCTTACATTACCCAACATACAGTGATTCCAACGTTTCTCTGTATGACATGTTCTCCTTCGATTGACTGCAAAAAAAACATATTGGGATACATAAGACCCATAAATCATTATATACACCTCTAAACTGGGTTCACACGTTAAACCTGACTGTTTTTAGTCATCAAAACATAGACCTACGTATATCCCTGAGATAAGGACACCTACATGCTGTTGTGGACGGCAAAACAACTTGGCGATGAACTACATTATCTGTGAACCTCACACCACCATATCATATCATATGTGACAGTCCACGTAAAAAAGCTGCATAAGTCGGCAAAACTGTTTTCGAGCTTTCACCGGATTCTGTGTTGTCTACCCTTTTGCCGTGCTCGTTCAAAATTTGGTGCGGAAGCCCACTCCATTCTGGAGATATAGCTACTTTTGTACCCGGGAGTCAGACCTTCGAGATCCGAGAAACAGCAATTTTTCTACGTGGAGAATATTACTGCATACGCGCTCCATTACACGCCCCCTAAAGCCACTCGCACGGTTGTGGAAAGAAGAAGCGAAGAAGACAGGCTCAGCAAAGGTAGCAGGTAAGTTTTAGCATCCTTGGTAACCCTAGCTCCTCGTTAGGTAGTTGCTTGCTTGACGGCCCGTAAAATTTCTCCGCTTAATTTCTGTGTATTGTGCCCGTTCACGTGCACGTGGAGATCGACATATCCTACTTGGAGGCGCCGCCACGGCCCTGGCAAGCGAGTTTCGACGCTCTGAAGTATATAGCTGTCTTCTAGATAGATGTAGGTCCTTTTCCCTCTGAATTGCGCGGTGCCTGCTGTTTCGACTTCTAAGGCTGTTAACTAAAAACTTTGCCGACTAATACCGCTTTTTCGTATGGACGGTCAGATAATATAATTATGACCCGTGGATAATTGTGTATTGGATGCCAGTCTCTCTGACGTTCATCATTTTCATGACAGGCGGCGCAAGTTGAAAGTGGTAGTCCAATGTGCAACACAAACACCTCTCACTATATCCATCAGCAATGCTACTACGTAGTTAGCAGAGTTTAGTTCTAAAACTGTCTTTCAGTTCAAGACAGGGAAAATCAACAATAATTCTTACGTGTTTGCAATAGCTTCTGCAACTTCAGTTGCTACCGCCACAGGATCTTCACTGCTCAACACAGACTCCAGTACCTCACTGTCTAACTGTAGCAATAACAACACAACTAACTTATCAATATTGACACTGTCACTGTCATCACACTGCAATAATGTCATGTACTATCATATTTTCAGAAATATACAGTGCCAAGCGCAAAGAGAATAGAATGGTAACTTTTTCACTCTTTGGCCAATTAATCAGTTGTGCTGTAACAAATCCACTCATATGAGATATCAAAATGATCCTCAATCATTGCTGATTAACTGATAAGGTCCCGTGACATCATGTGTTAGTCATGTGACAGCATCAACATTTAAAGAAAGGTCCTTCAGAAAAACTGTTAGGCTGATGGTTTATACAAACCTATGAGTTAAGAACCCAAACTCGATATGCACAATCCTAGTCTGTATATAGAGGCATCTTTGAGGCCAGAAAACTTTTATTAGTTAAGCTCCCACACTCGAAATCAAATAAACATAGTATCGATGTACCGACTCGAGTTTAGGCGAGGTGGAAAAACGGGCCCGTCTCTGCAAAACGTGAGTCCGCGGATGTCGCTCCCTATCACTCGAAACAATCGAACGTGACGTCATATAATTCGCGCTTACGTCAAGTTGACCTTTCACCTCGAGGTTTTTCGACAGCAGATTGGCACGGATGGCTCAAACAGTGGCCATTACAACCTAGTGAAAGTACTAAGAGTGACAAAAAAGATCTACTAAGTAGCGTCCAGGATCGCCATTAATACGGGCCCGTTTTCCCACCATGCCTAACAGTGAGTTACAATCGAGTTGGTACATTCATAGCACGTTTATTCGCAACGTTGAATTACGAGTGAGGGAGCTTAACTAGTAAAAAAATGGCTGCGAAATCAGCCTAACTCCAAGGGACCTCCCAAACCACCGTTTTTACTAATTGTCTAATCAGCCTAACTGTTTTTCTGAAGGACCTTTCTTTAGATGTTGATACTGTCACATGACTAACACATGATGTCAAGGGACCCTACCCTTATCAGATTTATCAGCAATGATTGAAGATCATTTTGATACCTCATATGAGTGGATTGGTTACAGCACGACTGAGAAATTGGCCAAAGAATGAAAAGGTTAAGTACCATTCTACTCTCTTAGGCATTGTATGTCACACCGGTTTTCTTATAGAGTATGCGCTTGCAATCCATACCTACAAGCAAAGGCATTGTTTGAACGGAAGTTTTTGTTGTTGTACAGCTGTGTCAGCTTGTTCAACTAGCTATCGCGAGCTTCACACACACACTGGAGAACTGCACAATTTTGCATTTCGTAATGTGACTTTAACTCAGAAAAAACATGTCCAAAACATAATTATTAACCCCCGGCGCGCATGCACAGCGAGGGTTAGTGTGTGTTTGTATGTCCGTTAGGAGCCATTTTACTTCACGAGCCATCAATTGCTCCACAAAAAAAAACATTATTCAGCGTCAGGTATAGGTCGAAAAATGTGTAGGACTTTCTCTGAAACTACTGTTTGATACGTAGTTATGGCGCGTGAAAAATCCAATATGCAATTCAACACCGCTTACTGTGAGTAACGTTTTCCTGTTTGGCGTACTACGGACCCCTGAAGTTAACTAAGGGAAAGGTGATTCCAGTGTTCCTACGAATACCAACAACACGACTAGGTAGAGCTGAGCTGCCTCCCAATCACCAGTAGTTCTATCCTACAACTGAAGCAAACCAATGAACTCCCTCAACATGAAAGAGTAACAATCGAAGTAAGTGTAGCGAAAGTGAACGAAGCCCAAAAAGTCAGTGGAGGGAAAGTGAAACAAGAAGTGGTTGTAGCAGATTCAAAAGGTAAAGCTACAGTGACGTTGTGGGAAACTGACAAAGGCCTTTTCAACCCACAAAAATCATATCAACAGACTTGAAATTTGGTCTTATCAAGGAAATTGGTCATTTCAATCAGCTGTGTCTGTCGATGAGATAAGTGACATGAAAGACATCATACAAACTACTTCCTTCTTCTGATGGTGATGAAGAGCAACTCCAAGGCATCACAATGTCTGGTATAAGACAACCTGAAACGATTTATACATGCAACAGGAACTTACATCCCATAAAGTGTCGTGCATATGACACAACTCAAAAATTGGGTCATCCCCAAAAAAATGCAAAGCTAACTCTTGAAAGTGGCAGCAAGAAATTCACGCAAATGAGGCATTGAGGACAATCACTGATGCCCAAAAATCCCTAGGATATCTCAGCATGGGATCTGCTATATGCCCCGCAATATGCTATAACAGGTTTAATGTAATCACAAAGATATCTCATAAATAAATAACTGAACATACCCACCTTCGCACTTCAAACAAACATTAACCTACCAACTTTAATCACCTTCAATAGTTTTGTCATCTTCAACAAAGTCAATTTTCAAGATCATGCAGAGAGACACACAACCAACTATACAATTGCGAGCTGCTTGCATCAACCTTGGTCTCAAAAGTCCTTGCGTAAACCGTTCATACTTATCTAACGGGACATACAGCTACCTTTGCGCCTGTAGGACTTGATGTTTAACTTGTCAGAGGCACGAATGTTAGCAAATTTCGCTCTGCGCACAACATTGATGGGTGGAGATGACCAGGAGCAGTGGGAACAAATGAAAAGGCTCTATGCCTCACTGTTTTCAGACGCGATACCAAAAGTTCCCGAAGAAGACGTAACCCCCACGACTCAAAGACCTCTTCACCTATGTGGCGGCTACAAGAGAAGAAGGATTGAACATTTTTGGAAACGGGGCAGGTAAGAGCTTTGCCAAAGAGATCCTGGGCCTTCTCCCAATAAAACGGTGGGTGAGAACATCAACAACGGCAACATCCCAGATTGACTGGTGTGGGGTTGTCGACGTGGCAGTGGTGAAGGGAGGGGCATGGCTGGTTGTCGGAGAAATCAAGGGTGGCCTAAAAGAGCAATCAGTGGAAATTACATTCTTTGCCTGTATTGCAAATTCCCCCTTTTGTCACAATTTTCCTGTCATCTAAGAGTAGACACTAGTTTTGCTCATGCAGCACTAAATTATGCAAACTTGTGCAAGCTTTGACACAGCTATGGGGGGTTGTGGACGTGGCAATGGTGAAGGATCGGGTATGTCGGGTTGTCGGGGAAATCGACAGTGGCCAGGTCTCTCCCCTCACCCAGATATTAGCAGGGATGCAGGCTATGGAGACAAAATATGGCACCTGGCCATATGGTGAGGGTTTTGGTACTTTTGGAGATGCTACATGAAGGTTTCTCCAATGCAGGTTTAGGCATTGAATCTCCTGCTCCCTCGCCTACGTGACAAGGTCTTCCACAACCCATATATCGTGCTACAACTAGAGGATGTGATTCAATTTCTGAGCGACCTCCAGTGCCTCCTGGAAGCTAATGAGCTGGCTGGTGGCATTGCCCAACTGACTCTTTCCGAACAGGAGGAGGAGGAGTGCAGGGCCATGGCCCTGGAGAGCCGCGTCCAGAAGATCAAGGAAACGGTAACATTTCGCTCCTGCGGTGGCTACATGGTAAAGCTTTCTTAGCTTCTTACTTTTTTTACAATGTCATGGTGTTGTCACAGTATGTTGCATGATGGTACTTGAATAAACAGGAGCCATGGCTATACAGCCATTGACCACGTACCAGAACTGGGGAGGAGCTACAATCATGCTCACTCCCGTTCGGCAAAAATGCCCTGCATTCGCCTAGTAGTGTAATACCCTTCTGCAGTTATCCAATATCGTATTTAGAAGCATAACACAGGCCCAAGTATTGACCAAGCTCCAATTCGAGAAAAGGAACTATGACCAACCTGGAGATACAGGTGGCAACTCTGGTGAAGACACCACCATCACAGGAGACACTGATCAAGTGGAGCCACAGGTGGCCACTGTGCTGAAGACATCACCATCACAAGAGACACTGATCAAGCTGGAGCTACAGGTGGCCATGACATCACCATCACAGGAGACACTGATCAAGCTGGAGCAACAGGTAGCCCCTCTGGTGAGGACATCACCATCACAGGAGACACTGATCAAGCTGGAGCAACAGGTAGCCCCTCTGGTGAGGACATCACCATCACAGGAGACACTGATCAAGCTGGAGCCACAGGTGGCCATTCTGGTGAGGTATTACTAATACCATCTTGAATTTTTTGTAAGAAGGTAAAGAACGAGACCTTATCCAATGGTGGACAACCTCAGCAGCCAAAAAGCACAAAACAACATAGAAATAAAAATCACATGACCTTTTCATATATCACTGTTTCATATAGCTATCCATATATCAAACCATCCATCATATTCCTAGCTATATGTTTTACTCAAAAAACTTTCGAAAAAACTCTCCTATGTACATACAGGGCACACACATACTAGATTAATCAAACTAGGAACTCAGAAACCATAGCAACCACTTCCAGAACACCAAGAACTATATGAACTAGGGAAACCGAAGCAAATCAAAGCACCTGTGGAGCGTAGGGAACTCCTGGAACGTAACAATTGCCACTAAGTTGTAGTAACTATGTATGGCATTCTTTATTCATGACTGTATTGGATGGAACATCAGTGCGTGAGAAGTTTACCAGCGATCATCAGTATGCACAGTACCATTATGGGCATTAAGCTGCATCTTAGGTCCATAGAGAATGGTTTCAAAGCAGGCTTGTAGAGAGGATCAGAGAGGTGAGTAAATTAATACAGTGGAGCTGCTTTGTAGACACTTATGAGAGCAACCTCTGCTAAACCATGGTATTATGCGTTTGCCCGTATTATTACTGCATACTGTGTTGTATAATATCTGTTCAAGTCACGATTCCAAACCGTGAGTGCGCGCGCATGTGTTCGTATATCCACGTGGTGCAGAAGACCGCACGCACACGGTGAGGCGCGTTGGCCAGTGGCTCAGCTTTTTCTCTGGTAGTGTGTTCAGTCAGTCGTCACCAGGGGAAGGACTCTCAACAAAGGAGCAAGGAGCAGCTGTATTGCCATGGATGTAAGTGTTGCCACTCGCCGATCCGACGC